TGTGTGTGTGTGTGTGTGACTACAGAGGCCTACTATAATTAAAAACCCATCAAACTCAATGTTGAATTTTTACACTACAGCTAGGCCGTATTAAACTGAAGACTTTGCAGAGAATTAAATCACTTCTCTCACTCTCAGACACAGGATGGAAGGTGGAGGTAAGTGGTTGCTGTCAGAGCTTGAGAGGAAATGGGAAAACCAAAAATGCAAAGTAGACAAGCGAAAAGTTTTAGCTCCCGCAGTTGCAGCTTAAGTTGCATAGCTTAACTATTACCCAAAAGGAGGTCAGAGGTTCACTTTGAAAAAAAAAAAAATAAATCTTAAATGAAAGAAAACTAAAAGGCAATGTTTTGCATGTACTGGTTAAGCCTTGCATTTTTCCTTTGCTCATAAATATGTAAAACCTTTTGTTTTGCCCCCCCCTACTTTTCTCCCTCCCCTAAGAGCACTTCATGTTCTGTAAAATGAAATTGGACAAAAAAGGTCCACTGCATGAATAAGTCAATAGAGTGAGTGCGCTTAAGAGTCCTGATTAAAACAACACCGCAATCAACTGCATTACTGTACACTACTGAAAATGTATACTGTAGCTGTGCCAGATCTGGTCCCACATTCTTGCCCCAATTACAGCACAAAAACAAATAGCTGACCTAGCAAGGAAAGCAGAGAAACTGTTGAACTGGTTTCATGCCACACACACACACACACACACATTCACATTCATATGTTAATAGGTTAACTGCATGCCAGGAATGTTTCCTCTCATCTTTGGGCCTACTCGCTGTGGCAGTGGTACCTGTAGGCTAGGCCACCTTAAGCTCAAGTGGACTGGAAAACACCTGAATAATTAACCTGTATAATAAACAGGTTGCCAGGAAAGGCAGGGTGGTGGCTTGTTACATTGTTTAAAGTAATAGCAACTCACTTACAAAGAAGGGCCTACATGGGAGTGGCTCACTGAAGGGAAACTGAAAGAAGTTACAACTAAATAAAGATAAAGAAAGTCAGCATACGGTAAATGACTGTCAGCAGTGTATATGATTATGACTGGCACTCTCTGAGTACATTAAGAGCGGTTTCCAGACCCATTTCTCTCAACTGAACTGTAACTAATGGAAGATGATGTGCGGACAGAGGGGAAGAAAGGGAGTGGGGAGGGGGGGACGCTGAGGAGGAGAAGGGTGGCTTTAGTGGGGGGACGAGAGAGCACCAAGGATATACTGGAAACAGTGACTCAGTTTAAAGGGACGAGGACACTACACTCCCTGTCAGCAGTTACCTGCTGGTGGAAAAACACCTTGCTCCACAGAGCCACACCTTAGAGAACTAAACATGGCGTTGAGTCACCGACCGAAACTCGGGTCAAAGAGCGACACAGATAGCTCTTGACCGAAAACACGAAAGGAATGAGGTAAAAGAAAGAGCCAGTAGTTTTGAAACAATCTCATTTCACTCGACTGTAATCGAAACCCTTCGAAATTTTAAGGGTTAAAAAAAACAAAACCTCAGTTTTTTGTACCTACAGTACAGCGAGTAAAAAGAAATCACCTGCCGGATTTTCTGCTCCTGTCACCGCCCTGACAGGTGGTAGTCAGGTTTAAATTGACCCCCCCTCCCCTTATAAATGATTAAAAAGAAGAAGGAATGAAAAGGCAGGTGCGCTGCTGACAACGAACTGGACACTATTAAGTTTTCATAATGTCTTACCGTGTTGAAGAAGTATCGACGCGACCAAGCAGAGCAGTCCGATCATTTTTGAGCAGTGGTGCCAGTTTCGGGCGTCATGTCTCGCCATGGTTGGTTACGGTCCTCTTTATTGAAACCAAAGGCACGCGGGTCTCTCCCAAATAAATAACTACGCCTTTAGATGCGGGTCAGTGTCTGAGTCAAACCTCACTCGCTCAAGGCAAAGAGAAAAACTTGTGTGGCTGCAGGACAAGACCAGGGGTCCGACTGGGATTCTTGTTTGTGTCCCTCTACGGTGCCTTTAAGACGAAGTCTGCTTAAAATGAATGGAGAAAAAAAATCCTTGTGAATTGGTCCCTGGCAGCACACAGGTGAATATTTCCACCTCTCAGCTCGTGCTCTGGATGTAATGAAGTGCTGCGCGCGCTCTCTCTCTCGCTACACCAACAACTAGTTCCTCTGAGCGCGCGGCTGTCCGACTGTGTGTGACTGACTGGGTGATGTCATCAGGCAGGAGAGGCGTCACAGCCCCGCTTCCCCAAAAACCAATTAGGACCAGACCAGCAATGGCGGGGGGGGACTCTGGGAGCAACTTGTTGAAAGCGCCAGAAGCATTTTATTTTCTTGGAAATCACAACTTGCACCTCGATAGCATTTAAGGTGCGCAGCAGGCTTTTACTTTGAAAAAAAAAATACCGAACCACGCAGATGATCCAAAAGCGTGAGTCATATGCAGGAATATTCCCCATAGAGCTGTGTTTTACAAGCCCCAACAGCTGATAAGTATAAGCTCAGTTCATCCACTCTTTTAATATTGCATCAAAGTTATCTTAATCAATTAGCAACCACTGTGCAGTGCAGTTAAATAACCAGAAAGTTATGTGGGGTGAATATTAAATCCATCCATAGAGAAAAGCGGCATTCACCCTGAACAAAAAACAAAATAAAGTTACTACACAATGTATCGAAGTCAGACAGTTTTGATATAGTGGTGAGGTACGCGGAAACAGATGATTCTTACGCCCTCTGCTGTTTGTTCTTGCGCACAGACTTAAGATTAGCTCCAGCACAGCAGATGCCAAAATCAATAAACATTCATTAATGAACGGCAAAATACAAATCCAGTGGCAGTCAGCAAAATCAAATCAAGAGGAAACAGCTTCTCATGTATCTATTTGCAGACTCCAGCAGGCTCTCTGTTGATGAGATTTTTTTTTTTTTTTCTTCCACAGAATAACTTCCAATTCATTTTGCCCTATTTTCCTCTGGAGCAGGGTGCATACTAGCATAGCGAAGGCATTATCTGGTTTAGGTCTAATCCCTATACCCAAGTGTTTTACAGCCAATGTAATTACATCTTCATAAGACCCGCAGTTTAAATCGTGCTGCTCGGTTCCTCCAGTTCTGTTCTATTTCCAAGTTCCCCTCCAGTGTCACCCTCTTTTATTTCCAGACTGTATTTCTGAGGTGTAAATTCAAAAGATGGTCATAATGTTCAAAGGTCAAACAATGTTCTGCACACACGGATGGATTAAAAACAGATTAATTGTTCAAATAGGTTCCTCTTTTGGATATTTATGTCTTCAGATAGACGGAAGGGGTTCATTTTCTTTCCACTCCTTGCCCACTGCAAATCTAGAGCCTGCGAAAGCATCTGCCATGCGAACAAAGCAGCTGGGGGTTTTAAATACAGATGGTACTTTGCATTGCCATATTTTCATTTGCTGCCGTCTTTTGGCCCTATAGTTGAATGTCTGAGCAGCAACGCAGTCGGATAAAGTGTGCAGTTGTGCAGGGGCCACCCCATATGACCACTAAATCGTATGCATTCCTGGAATAGAATGAGGAGGTTTAAAGAAAGTGGCCACGAAAGAGAGTATTTCATTCCTTTTCCTTCCCGTACTCATCCATTTTTCATACCAAATCGACCTTCACACCTTCCACTTTCCAGCTACCACCCACTTTACTTATACAGTCCTTCACCTTTTTTTTCTATATCTCACACGCCTTGCACCTTCCCTTCGTTTACACATCACTTTCCTCTCCTTCCTGCTTATTCCTCCCCCCATTCTCTCCCTCTCTCTCTGCCTCTTCCTGTGTCATTCAATTTCCTTTGTCCACTCGTCCTTCACTTCTTGCTGCTATTCATCCCGTCCTCCATCCTTGTGCTCTCCGGGGGTCTGTGGCAGTGATAATGAAGCTCGTAGTTAACAGATATTAGCTCATTGGCAGTGGATTCATTAGACAGAGCCAAGGCTTATGGTGATTATTTTACCCATAGAGGAGGGGCCACAGGATCAGTACCACGCTCTGTGTCAGCAGCCACAGGCTTCTTTGAAGTCACACTGTCTCTGTTCCCCTTGCAACACTCTCTCACACTTCTCCTCTCCGAGGGTTTTTCTCATTCTGTCTGAGCACCTCTCCCTCTACATTTCTCCCTCTTGCTGCTCTGCTGTTTTTTTCTCTTTCCCTGTCATTAGACACCCACAATACATATCTGCTTTCTCTCCCTCTCCCTCTCTCTTTCTCTATCTCTCTTCACCGCCCCCATTCACCCAATGGTAATTATGGAAAAATCTGTAATAGTGCTCAGAGGAGCTGATAATACCTTTAGCTTAATTAAAGACATTTATGGGATGTAAAGACATGTAGCCTAGGGGTTGCTGTGCACCCACACTAACCCAAACTCTTTATTTCTCGCTTTTTCATCTCCCTCAATCCCTCGTTTTCTGCTATTCTTATCATTTTCTCTGTTTCATACACACATTGTGATACACACGAGTACATGCTCATCCCTTTTGTCAAGCTAAATGTTAAGGTCCAAAGTTCTGTAACTAAATGCCCAGAAGTTCTGCTCCAAAGTGTAAAATATTGTAAGCACACATTAGGGCTAGTGTGGGGTTACAGTAATACTGTTACGTAGTTTATCTTCTTCAGACACACACATATGATGGCAATAATGACAGTCTTTTCCTGCTGATTATCCTAGCGGTTGTTGTGCCACATCCTGTTAGGCCTGAAAGACTCACAGCAAACTTGTTAACATGTCAGTCAGGGGAACCACTAATACTGCAGGAAAGTGAACAATACTTGGTGTTCTGAGGCGTACTCAGAAAGGTCACAGTGTTGGAGCGACAGCTGGTGCAGTGAGAGTGTTTTTTCTCTTTTCTTTTAATGTGTAATGGAGTCTGGTTTTCTCACTTTTATTCTTGTTTCTTCCTTTGCGGTATATTCCTCTCACGTTGGCGTCACAGGTATGAAATACTTTATTTTAGAAATATATTTTTACTGCACTTGCTGGGAAGGGAGCTTACATTTTCACAGCTAATGGCTGCTTTTAGAGTGCAAACATGAATGAACTTGTTTCCTTGAAGGTAAATGATGAGTCATCCATAAGCCAGAGTTCCTTTATATCCCAGGTGGTCAGTTTGAGAACATTAGTGGCTTTAATTCAACTCAGACCATCTTTAAAGAATAGGTTCACATTTTTCCAGTCTGTCCTTAAACAACACTCACATGGATATATATAAATTGAAAGAATTATCAGGCGTTGTAGTAGTAGTAGTGTTCCTCCTGTCCATAGAGGCTGCAGAGATCCCTTTCCTAAATTGATTTCAGTGTAAGACAAAATCCACGGTACTTTTCCTGTGTACAAATGCATATTATATATATTTGAAGCCAATATGATACGTTAGTAGTCTGTTATATGAATTAAGTGGTCATCTTCCAAAGGTAGGTTTTTAGGTATAGAATCCTTTCTTTTTGTTATGATCCATCTGCTGCAGCTCAGTAAAGTAACACTGTGCAGGGCCACAAAAGAGGGAATTTGGCACTTAAAAAGATAATCATTTTGGAAGATACCCATTATATTTCACTGACTCCGACTGCTGAAACCTCATATTAGCTGAGATTAAAATTGGTCTAAGAAGGGATCTATCTGCAGCCAGTGTGGACAGAGGGAACAATTACAGTAACTTCCAATGTACATATGGGCATGTGAGTATTGCTTTAGCACTGTAGTGAAACTGCAGAATTTCAAGACATTCTTAAAAACTTGCCTGAATAATTGTTAACTTGTTGTCCTCTCTCCCTCAGACTGGGACGATGTTTTGGTAGCTAGAGAGGGAATGCCTACCACCTTGTTCTGTACTGATACAACAGTGAGGGGTGATGTAGCCATTAACTGGAAGGTGCAGTCACTTGGTGCAGATGAATGGAAACTGGTTCTCTCAGCCAACGAAAGGAAGGAGTTCTCAGGCGGTGCCTCAAAGGCATCCATGCGATTGATTGACCCTAACTTTCAAGACACCGGGGTTTTCTCTCTGTTCTTTCTTCCTAGTATGGAGGACAGTGGTCTCTACTCATGCTTGGTAAAGCAACAAGAGAGGAAACTGAAGGAGAGGATTATCCTCTTAGCTATCCTTACAGGTAGATAAATGTGATACTTTGCATTGTTGATATTTTTTCTTCTTACATTTTTTAAGCCTTTCGATGTACACTTTTTTCTAGTTACATAACTAATAACTAATTATTTGCTTGATTCTTAAATTGATCATACAATATATTGCCTTTGCCACAGCCACACTTCATTTGTATTACCTGCAGTGGTGAAAAGTAACTAAGTGCATTTACTCAAATAATGCACTAGTACTCTTTATTTGAGTAAATCCATTTTATGCTACTTTATACTGAAACTCCAACACAGTGCAGGAAGAAATATTGTTACAATGTTGCGACATTATCTGACAGATGAAGTTACTTGTTACTCTGCCAAAATTTGACAATCACATAATCAGCTTGACACAGATGTTTCATTTATAGATTAATTGTGTATGATTATTATCATTAATCAGTTGGTTGACATAATAATAATAATGAATAATAATGAAATTGAACCATATTTTAATTATTTTTTTAATAAAAGGATTAAGGATTTAAAAGAAGTCTGGGTTTTTGACTATTTCTTAGACAAAACAAAACATCTGAAGCCATTACCTAGGGATTTATAACAAGCAGGGCTGTTTACTGTTTAAAGAGAGAATAACGGGAAGAGTTTTCAATAACAAAAAGATTAAACTGATGAGTATCAGTCATATGTTGTTTAAATGAATTCTTCACGATTTCATCACTGATGACAATCCAGTAATTAATATTTCAAAATAGCACAATATAAAGGACCAGTTGTACATAGTGATTACTTTTGTTTACAATACTTATAATATATTTTGTTGATGATATTTCTCTACTTTTACATCAGTAAAATATTAAATGCAGGACATTTACTTCAATTAAATATATTGAAATTGTGGTATTGCAACTTTACTTAAGTAAAACATTAAAATACCTCTTCCACCCCTGATTTCCTGTGTCCTCCCTCATCTCCAGTCACTGTTGTCCCCCCTGGACCAATTCTTAAGCACAGCACCCTGCGGCTGATTGCAAGTGTTACTCCTGACTTTGCCGCCACCAAGATCACCTGGGCAGCACCTGGTGGCATTTCATTGAAGAGCGAGAGAAAGCCCAAAACAGGCACAGTAGCCAAACTGCCACAGGTCCAGATTGCTGACAACGGGGCCTATACCTGCATGGTTCACCCACAGGGTAACAGCAGCAGCTCTCTTTTCAACTTCAATGTGGACGTGACTATTGATGGTAAGACTGATTTGAGAGAGAGCAAAGTAAAAGCATCGAGGAATAAAATACACTTGTTTTTGCTTTTGTTGATGGTTTGAGTGGGCATCCTTGCCAGAAACTTCAGCAACAGCATTATTTATTTAAGCCCCCTGTAGCTACAGTTCTTCAAAGTATTTACTTTTATAGACCAGTTTCTACGGTAGATGTGTGCTAAAAACCAGTTCTCCTGTGAATATTACAGTTGATACATTTATGTTTTATTCATTATTTGCATTTTGTTCCCCCCCTCCCTCCTTTTCTTGCTTCCCTTTTCTCCACAGATGACAATGTGGCCTCATTCCCCAATGTAACGGATGGTGAGTGACTTTGTAACCCAACAGTCTGAAAGTCCTGTGTCAGCAGCTTGCTAATCAGGCAGAGCAGAATGCAAGACCAACTGAAGAAGTAACTCTCAGCATATATGAACGTAATCCCTATTGTTGTAGGAATTTTTCCCCTATCTCCAATTCCCTACTCCTTTGCTATTCTGTTTACTCTCTGTCTTCACCTCACACTTCATTCAGCCTAGATTCCCTGTTGGTATGTCTGCTTGCATGGTTATGTCTTTATATCTGCCTTAACTCCATCTTCCTGTCTCATCTGTTTTATCATTCTTGTTTTACTTGCCTTTTCTCCTTCCTCCTTGACTGCAGGCCTTTTAATCTCCACCGCCACTCAGGCTCAGACATCCTTCACCCTTACCTGTCCTGTTGTCCCGGGGGACTACGTCAGGTTGTACTGGCAACCTCCAGACAACAAGAAGAATAATAATATGAAGTTGGTGTACCACTATGACCGGTGGAGGGGTTCCACCTTGTTGACTGAGCAAAGCAAGAGACTCCAGCTTTCCGGTCCACCCTACAACGCAGAGGCTGGGAGCTTCTCCTTTCTACTCACACCTGGGTTGAAAGATGGTGGCCTCTACATCTGTAATGTGTACCTCAATGAAAACTCCTTCAGCCAGAGTACCCAGCTCAGCGTGCTGAAAGGTAAACATCAGGATCAGGAGAAGGACAAGGAGAAGGAGAAGGTGGATTAGGAGGAATAAGACAAGTGGCAGAGATGGATTTATGAGAAAAGTGGTGTCATTTTTATAAGAACCTTTTTTATTTGTATGATATAACAAGACATTTTATGTATGCTGTTATCCAAAGCACCTGTGATGAAAGGGGTAAATAAACAGATAGATGATATGTTAAAGAGATAAACCAACATAAAATACTAACTTCCCTGTAGCCACAGGACCCATGTCTCTAAAGGTATTTGCCCTGCTGATGTGTCTGATGATAAAAGACTGAAGTCTCCCATTGCATTGTTCTCACAGATCATACACTGAAGTAAGCACAAATAGAATTTCCTACAGCTATTGGCAAAAAGTCACATTATTAAATGAATGCATTTACAATACTGCTCGGGAAAAGGAACATTTGCTTAAAATTGAGCAGACCACCTGTTGATTTTTATGAGTGAGCCTTAGGGAGGTTTCACCCTTTGCAAAAACACACAGAATACGTTTACACACACACACACTAACACAC